TTTCTCTTACTTGCTCCTTTTCCCTAGTGAAACAAAACTTTCACATTCAAAAAATGGCTTTTATACAGCAGCCAGTAACCCATTTAACAGCCAGTAATTGAGGCTACTTCACTGGGATCTGGAATTGCCTTCTTCAAACTACTCTTAAGAATGAGTACATTTAACGACCTACAGAACTAAGCAACCAGCGTCTTGTCTGGTGCGCAGACTCTGTGCAGGTGACAGAGATCCAGACAAGCTGTCAATAATTATGCAGGAACATCCTCCCACATATCATGCCCGGCATAACTGAAAGCAGTGCTGTTTTCTTTGATCTTGTAAGTCAGTGGATATTTGGACATTCTTCAAGGAAACAGTAATGTGCCAAGTCTCCTCTGTTATCGTTAAGAAAACTTTAAACAGGTTAGGCAGGCATCTCTTGTTCTGCTAGCTTTACTAATCTAAAAGTTTGTTTGTTAATTGACAGGTAGTTATCACAAATTCCACGAAATATGTGTGTGAAAATAACTTCTTTCCCTCTGAATAGAGATTGAAAAATGGAGTGTGCTGTTACTCATTTGTTACTGAATAAGTGTTCCAAATTTCTTCTCAAGCAATAAAGAGCTTGCATCTAACCCCAGCGAACGTCCACCCCTCTGGGTGCATTTTGAGATGCAAACCCCAAGCATTGCCGTTTCCTAAGGACAAACCCTCCTCTGCCATAGCTGCAAACCTGGCTGGACTCCAGGACCCTCCTGCCATCTGGGCTAGCTCAAATTCATGTTACGGGTCCAAGCTGAGAACTAAGACTCCTTATCTATAGAAAGCATCCCGCCCGAGCCTTTCGACCCTCACACAATCTTTCCTTATTTCCTGCTCTCACCTTTAGTTGTTTTTGCAATAGAAGTGATGCTGATTCAAAGGATGAGTCCTCAGGCCAGCGGGAGGACACTAATGCACATCACTAGTGCAAGACTGGCAACCCGGCTTAGCAAGCCAAGACTGGCAAGCCAGTTTCTTGATGGGACAAAGACTACCTCATACCGCTTGTTCGGAAGGCCAAGATACTAAATTCGAATGGTGGCATTTGCACTTACTCTTCCCAGACACAACCAGACATGGTGTGAGGTGATGGAAGATGAAGTCTCTTCTCTGGTGGGAATTTTTAAGAGACTTTTCTGGGATCCGTTCACAGGATATGGCCATGAGAGAAACCGAAGAAAGACTGTGTAAACCAGTCTTGATTCTGGCTTGTGGCATGGGACACACAGTGATGCAGAGAACAAGAAGGAAAACATTCTGGGCTAAGATCACCCTTTGGAGAAATTATCATGGGTTGTGATCAAAAAAATGCTGAAAAATGATAGCATAATGTCTACTCAGTATTTGGGAAGCATGTTTTTTGAAACCAGCCTGACATAATTTCTTTATTTGTAAAAAAATGTGGTTGCCAAAAGTAATTGCATTTACATCTTAAATTCACATTTTTCTAAAGTGTTTGCACTACATTCTGTTAAAAACAACACAAGTCAAAATGTGTAATACAGTCAAACCTATTAAAAACTGACTAAAGCACTGTTATTGGTAACCACATCTGAATAGGGATGCATCTAGTAATATTTCCAATGTTACTATTACTTTTTTTAAACCCCATTTTGACTTACACTCGGAACAGGAGTTGGTGCAAATATGTTTATCTGTCTAGGAGAGACAAAACTTCAAATATTTTAAACTGGCTACTTTAAAGGTATGCAAAGAAAAAAATTGGTCATATCACCTTTGGAGATATAAGGACTGGTCAGTTACAATATGCTATTTGAATCAGCTTGTAAAAAGAAATAATATTTTCAAAAAGGTTTTAATGCAGGCAGACATAAAGTCAGATATGTCAAAAGAGAGAATGTAGGTCACACTAACAGCGCAGAATACCATATCCTGAAATGCAGTGACACTGAAAAGGACTTCAGAAAATCAATTTACCATGAATTCCCTATGCAATCTATGGCGAAGTTTAATGCAATACTTGCATGATTATGCAGGAGACGATGATATTACAGGTATGTATCACTGATGGGACCAGCATTGCTATGTCCAGTCCTGGTATCCAATTTTCAAACAATGACGATTCTGGAATATTGCAAGCAAATCAAGAATGAGTCACTAAATTATTTGAAATTGTGGAAGCCTTACCTGTGCATAACAAACTGCAGCCAGCCACCCCAAAAAAGGCAGCGATAGCTCATCACAGTGCCAGGGAAGTGCTGGGAAATCCTGACACCAGTGGATTTTCAACTAGGGAGCAAAGCCAAAAGAGCAATTAACGATTAGAAAGAGAAGGGAGACAAACGCAGGTTGGAAAAAAATGTGTCTGTTCTTCTAACAAGTAAAGTAAGTATTAGGTTAAAATGAACTGCTGGAGAGCAGGAGACGTAATAAGCTGATGTCATTCCAGTAAGAATGAGCGACTTTACAAAAGATACACTGCAGCTCATCTGGGACCTAGGGGTTGAAACCACATGGCTGGCATGATGCAAGAAATAACACTAGATGTTCTTAATATCCATAAAGCCAAAAATCATAATACAGTCACTAGAATATGGATATTTTGACATAAAGAAGAAGCAGAAGTCAGGGGAAAAGAAATGTTCATGTTTACATGGTAAGCTGTTTATGTTTACATGGTAAGCTGTTAGCTTTCAAAACAGAAAAACCTACATGAGCTGAAACCGACACAAAAATACACATGCTACTGCCTTAAACAATGCAGTACAGAAACCAGGTCCCTGAAAAAATTTCACAAGCAAGCAGTCAAAATTAAAAAAAAAAAAAGTAATTCTTTCATACGTGCACACAGAGGCACATAGTCAAGAAGCAGGAGGACTGAAGGGGAGCAAATGAACTTTTAAGGATGCTGCGTTCAAAGATCCCAAATATTTTATTTACGTGTGTATTCAAGAATTATTTTAAGATGTCATTTCAGCACTTCTATTCTCCCATGTAAGAAAAACAAATCAGTATTAAAGACTGTTTTCAAGGCAGACAGTGCTGCAACATTTGTGTTTGGAAGCAACAGATCTCCAGAACTGGCTTGTGTGCATGCAAATATTTCCAAGTAAGTGTCAGAGGAACTAATTCAAAAACCCTGCATCCTTGCTCATTACCATCAGCTGCTGGAGAGCTGGAAGCTGCTGTATGAGTACTATGTTTAAAAAACTTGTTGAGCTAGCCTTGAGAATTGCAGCCTACTAAACCTTACTCTACCATCAGAAAAACAAAACTCTTAAAATGAAAATAAAGTATGAAAAGAACGAGATTATCATTACATAAAAGAGAGAAAATAGTGCAGAGTCTTTTAAAATAAAACTGCCTCAAGTGCAAGCATATTTGATTAATCCACCGCTTTTTCTAAAAACAGGCGATAGCCTTCATCACAAAAAGCGACAAAGGGAACAAAACCAACTTGGGAAGTAAAAATCACCAAAGAAGAGGAAGAAGAAAAGGCTTTCAGCTGCTTTGACAATGAGGTGACTCAAAGAACTGTGTTAGGTACAGCCTCGTTTAATATGTTAGCAAACAGGAGAAGCAGCTTCAAAATCCAGCCAATAACATTGGAATTCGATACGATTATTGAGACTTGTTCAATATTATGAGAATATTACGAACCACTTCAGAAGGACCTAATAAACTAAACAGGCAGAGAGATGCCAAATGAAGGTCACTGGAGAGAGGCGCATGTGAATGCGTGTTAGAAAGAATCACTCCCGTGCATCTGTGCTAAAAGGCCCGCACTGACACCGCCTTGGAGCACACACAAAACCACGCTTGTGGGTACTGCTGTTGACGTTGCTGGAAGAGCTCCGGCAGGAAAACGAAATGCCTGCCTGGATCAGGCCCTACGCTGAATTTCTGACCGTTGTTGGGGGAGGTGGAACGGAGTGAAACCGTGGGCAGCTGGCAGAAAATCTGTCCATGTGCAAGAACAGGCAAAGAAATAAAGCAAAACAAAACATGTTCCTTCTGCTGCACCATAAACAACTCGACCACGACAAGAAAGGCTAGGTACAGACTAAACTAGGAAATAGTGAGGCCATTACAATTGCATTTTGTAAAGGAGCGATCTGGCCTTTTTGCTCAGCATAGCCCAAGGAACTGCAGATATGAAATGGGTCCCAGAAGAGGCCACAGAAATGATCAGCTCGCTGAAGAGAGAGTAGAGGGAGGCTCAGCCCCGGTGACGCGTCCGTCCGCTCCCTGCAAGAGCCAGGCTGGCATTGGGAGGCTCTGGTAAGAAGCTGTAGCGAATTACCCTGGGGAATTACCCCCGGGACCCAGGGGAGGGTCAGAGGAGAGACTTGGTGGAGTCCCGTCTCCCTGCAGCGCACTCCCAGCCCCTGCGGAGAGGGCTAACCCCAGGGAGGCTGCGAGCCGTCCCGGCCACAGAACCGGCATCGGGGCCCCACAGCTCAGGAGGCCCGGCCGACACAGGTACCTCCATCCCCGTGCCCGAGAAAGACCTGCCGGCACAAGAGCTTCGGAAGCCCTCTTCAGGATAAGCATCAAATGCCTTAAGCACCCCCGTAAACATATCCAAGCTCCAGAGATGCCGGAATGATACGGGCTTCATTTATGTGACAACGGGGGCTTCATGCGGGCTTGGGCACCTGACTGCGTAGTAAGTTTTAAGACTAAACAAAAAGCGACTGTCTTCATAGTGGAAAAAATAACATTTTATTAGATATTAGTGACAAAACGCGAATTGTTCAGTATTTTCTAGCATAACAAGCAGATACAGAACTGAATAAGAAAATCTCTGGGTGTTTTACTTTATGCTTTCATGTATTGTGCACTGAGCTTGCCTAAGAGCTAAACAGCATCTGATTTGTGCCTGACAATAAATAGAAAAAGGATTGCCAATTAAGAATGTGGGGCATCTATTTTTAACGCAACGTTTTCGAACTGGGGGCTGCCTACGAGAGAAAGGCAGTGCCATCTGTTGGGGAGAACCGGCGGGTTCAGCCAACGGGTTCAGCTTCGCCCGGCCCGCAACAGCAGCCCGCTCCACAAGCCGGGTCTGACGCAGGGTAAACTCTGGCTGGTCGACAGAGAGGAGAGGGAAACCAATCTAGATGGATTCAGCACCTACTAGCCAGCAGCTATTCGATGTATTGAATACCTTCGCGCTCTTTCCCAGCAGCGGTTTCAGGTCCATGGTGGCCGGACGCCGGGCACAGGAGCGAGGAGGGCAGGAGAAGCCACGGTGGGGTAAATCCAAGCGACTTCGGCCGCGACAGCGGCAACAGAAATTTTCTTTCCTTGACGCTTCATGAGTCAGCACTTCTGATGTCAAGACTTTACACTCAAATCGAAACAAGCAGCAGCCCTGTGTGGGAGGAAGACAAATCTGAGCTCCACAAAGGGATAAGCTGGCATGCTCAGGTGGTCTGCCAATAATTGGGGCTTGCGTAATTTTTACTCAGCATTTGCAGACTGTTAGTGATTTTGCTTTAAATATGCAGCAGTAAAATGGTTGTAGGCAAATACAGGTTTTGATAGTTGCACTGAGTTCGAAAGCCAATGTATTTAACATTTAAATATGCTGCATGCACCTTATGAATTATTTACTTCCACCAGCCTTTCTGGAGATGTACGTATATTCTCACACCCCCACATGCATAGCGGCACAACCACATGTATGTGTATCAGCTGAGTCTTTCAGCTAATCATGTTTTTCTGTGGCTATTTAGCACGTTGCTACTTTCATTTACTGGTCAGGGTAGGCCAGTGGATATCAAATATGGACCTTTTTTTGCCCGGTGAGGGCCTGACACATCGGCTAGAGTCACGTTGATGGTTATTCAACAGAACTGCAGCAGCAGCTATTTTTGCTCCATTCCCACAGCAGCAATAAAACAGTAGCACAAAACAGAAAGTGACACACCAGATACACTGAACAGCAGCTGCCCTTAGAATCCAAGCAGCCCCCCTGGACTGATTTGCCATTCACAAATGGCTAATTTTTTTTTCTTTTTTTTTTTTTTTTTTTTTTTTTTTTTTGATAATGAGGAGGTGTAATTAAAGAAGAAGAGGGGGGAAAATGGGATCATATTAGCAATAAGAGCAAACACATTTCCTCAGTTGAGTAACTGTGCTTTAAGGTATCTGTGGAGAGGAATGTATCAGTGAGGTGTCTTCTTTAACAAAAGATCATCAGGAACAGCAAGTGGACAGTCTCACACTTCACTGTCCAGTCCTTGCCTGACTGGTAAAAAATTAATTTTTTAGTCAATACCAGAGAAAGCAGTTGTATATAAAAGCCATGTAAGTGGTGAAAGCACACATCAGATGTGCCCTTGGGCAGGATTAATGTACAGACAAGCTTGTGGAAAAGAATCTTTTTCTTTTTTAAACAGATAAATGTATTTTGAACTAAGCCAGGAAGACTTATCTTTATGGTGTTCCATGCTGCCCTGTTTTACGTATTGCACATCACAAGATATGAAATGAAAAAGCATTTCTCTGGTGCCAAAGGGGAGAGAGACTTGAAAGAACCACTTACAGAAGTACCATTTCAGTTGTAAGAAGTGCACTTTGATTTTTTCCCAGCTGAACTCCGTAAGTGTGCAAAGTCCAGGCAAACAGAATATTAATCTTTGATGAAGCAAACCTAAAACTGTACAGTCTTGGATTGCAGCCATAATTATATTGTATTCAAATGCCAAGGCTCCTTTCTGAATAAATGAACTTAAAGTATTCCGTGGAACAATACTCTGTGGGGAGATGGAATTAAACAGCACTTCCAAACTCCAGATGATCTACAGACCAGCCAGAACCCGAATTGGAGCTAAAAATATTCAGTGACCCTAGCACTGCAGAGATTGTGATAGAAGTCTTTTTTTCATAACATATGTTTGCAGATATGTCATCATCATCTGTGGTCAGACTAGTGCCAAATAAAGACTTACAAATCTTCCTAGATTTTTCACCTCTCTGCTTGTTCCAGCAGTAACATTGGCTTTTATTCACCATGTCTGGCATGTTTTAGTAATTCTCAGTCATGATGAGCTCTTGTGCCCTCAATATTTGTTTGCTTGTGTTTTTTTAAAATAGATGTACAGTAATTTCTCTTATTTTTTTCCTCATTCTTACTATCTGTATTATGTTTATTTCTTCCGATTTAGGAAGGACAGGAATCCCTTTCTACATCCTGCACATGCCCTCAACAGTTTAAGACTCAAGTCATCCTTTTATTTAATATTAACAAACAAACCAGTCGTATTTTATACTGGATGACTGTGTAACTATCAGCAGAGCAAAGCTCAGCTAAAAGGCCTGTCCCCAGTACTTCTAGCCTGGGGATCTGGAAACGCTTCCCAGCTCCTGTGACTGCTCTGCCTGCATGTCAGGATGAGTCCCAAGTCTTAATCATCTCTTATACTCTGATTTTCACTGGGAGAAGGCCAAGGTGTACAGGTTAGGAACATGTCACAGCATGCTGTAATAGTTCTGGATGATCTGAGCGATAAGGCACTGGGACTATAGGGTACGGCCGTCGCTTGTGATATGGATTTTGCTATTTAGAGCACAGGAACGTTTTTTATTTTCCCCCTAAACTCAGGAATTCGCAGTACACAAAATTCATTTCCAAAGTGTGAGAGCAAGTGAGTATTAACTAGCATTAGTGGCTGGTACACACTGCTAGAACTTTTTCATCATACCCCATAAGCCATAGTTTTCCTCATAATTCATTATTCTGTCTAGTCTGGCCTGGATCAGCAAGCAAGTTAAATATGTGCAGGGCTTCACATCACAGTGGGATGACCCAAGTGAGTAAAGACAGAATTGTGTTTCAAAAAGTGTATTGTCAATGCTCACAACAGGTCAAACCCATCCACTAGGTAAATTCTGTTTACCTTAGGGATGCTATACCAAACATGCAGATTTTAAGGCTATGAGTTAGTTTCCCTGATGCTGATGGGAATTTTAACCTCAGTCAAGGAAGCGTCTGGGCCTGAAGACGTCAATAATCACTAGCAGGTGATGAGTGTCTGTGCTGAATGATCCCATTTAAAATCCTGCCAGGCATCTATTTGCCTCTTCAGCTCCTTAGTTACTTTTGTGTATCTGGCCTTTGTTCTGTGGAGAGTCTTTGGTTTAGTCTTCTTTCTATAGTCTTTTGTCTTTGAAGGATTGATTTATTGCTATCTGATATGAGCTACATAATCCAGCAAAATTGCCTTGTCTCAACAGTTTATAGTTCTGCTCAAGATTTATGTTTCATCCATCCTTCCAAGGAAAGTACTTGTTTTTTCTTCTTTACGATTTTAAATGTTTGCCCTCTTTTAGGAAGGGAGATTAACCTAAAATCTGAATCACTTTAAAATTTGAGCTAGCTCAGTTTAGGACTGGCATTTTATAACATAAAAACATACAAGCTCCCTTCCATCTGTGTTCCCCCATGCATTTTTTCCTAATGCACTCGGATTGTTCCTACCCCTCACTCCAGCTCTTCCTCAGAACTTCCTCACCTTCTGCCCAGACCTCTCTTTCCTTTTTGATGTTTCACCTTGTTTAAAACACTGTGGCCAACCCAATTTTCATTGGTCTAACCCTGTCATTCACTCCTGTTGAATCTCTGTGATTCTTTTTTTTCCACTGCCTGGGATGAGTGTTCTACCTTCAGCCCATGCACAGTTGTCTCCTTGATTGCTTAATCTCTCACCCGTCATCTTTCACTTCCCCTTCAGTCACACACTGAAGTCCCTTTCTTTACTTCCCTCCCAAATGTGGGTTCTGCATTAGAATCCGCATGAAAGCAAATGTTGTGAAAGCTCCTGTAACAACAGGTTGTTTCTGATGCAGTGACAAACGCTGCAGTTTAACATAAATAGCTATTGTATTTGTCGGCAAACGGTCCTATTAGACCATCATAAACAGAGCTCTGCAATGCACCTCGCTGGCACCTTGTAGGGTGCACTTTGCCACCAGATGTGACACAGAAAGGGATGGTCCTGAGAAGAGCAGCTTTATGCCCACTTGTGCATCCTCCAATTGTGGATTTCCATGGGGAAACCATGAACAATTCTGTAGCTCAGAGAGCTGCGAGGAAGGGAACTCCAACCTAGGAGTTATCACCTCCTTCCAAAATTGCACAGTGCCTAAACCGACCCCCTGTTACCTCTGCTTGGAGCCCTCAGTCTGCTAGAGAGCTGTAACCCCTTCCCAGCACCACTGCACCAAGGAGTGGCAGCAAAACCAGAACATTGTCCTCTACATCTGAATGTTCAGTGAATCAACAGGGCTGTGAAGAGGAGGAAGGGGACACGGCCTGGGCTGGCCAAAATAATCTTCAACATCCTCTGCTTCGTGAATACGCTCATAAGCAAATACATAAAGAAGGCCAAACACACAGTTTTCACACCAATAACACTCACATTCAGAGTAAGAATGTTGTGGAAATTAAAAGCCTCTGAAAGATCAGGTGACCTTTATAGGGACCCCTTGACTCGCCTATATAGCTACACCCTCCGTGCCTCAGTTACTGTTCTTCACAGGTGTCACAGGTTCTGCAGCCTCCAGGTACTTCAGCAGAAGGCACAGGTGCGGGATGTCTTTTAGTGATCAACCCATTAACTTCCATGCCATTGACCTTTGCAGCAGTGCCTACTATGCACAAAGTATGACAACATTGAACATTGTAAAGAGGTTTTTTTATGTTTCTTTTCAAACCAAGTATTTTTGATTAAGACAGTTCAACTCCTATCAAAGTTTGCATCTGAACCTTTTTAAGGTTCATAATAATCTTCTATACCTAAAAAAAGAGTGATGGCTAACATTAGGTGTGTAGGCAAATATTCTTAACCCCAGGACACAATCAAGAGTGGCCAGGTATGCTTTGCTGCTCTCATCTGAGCTACATATGATGTTTCTGATGTGATAATTCACATTATGATGTCTATCCAACATCTGCTTTTACCATATTGGACTGTGAATATTTCAGATCAACAACTGAAATCCAGATGTGTTTGTGTCATGAACTCTCTGCACTCTACTTGAAATGATTCGTCTTTAGAAACAGAATTAAGGATGCATTCACGCTTGATCCTGTGCAGCCTACTGTAGGTGACCCTGCTTCGGCAGGGGGGTTGGACTAGATGACCCACAGAGGTCCCTTCCAACCCCTACTATTCTGTGATTCTGTGATTCTGTGAA